GTTTTTTTGGAAGGTACTTAATGTTATAAAATAATGGAATGCTCATTTTTTGATCAAACATTTATTGATTTTCTGTGTACCAAATACAAATCTTTATATTAAAGATTTTACCTCCCATATCTGGCCTCTGTATAGTGTTTCATTGCTTCATTTCATGAATTAAGCCAACTGGTATCACCAAGACCATAGTGACGTAGAGGCAGAGATTAGCATTGAGAATTCTTCTTTTTCCCTTTTTAGTTAGTTGCATTATGTTTTCTTTTTATATTCTGAACAAAAGATTTAACAATATAGTTTATGTTGGTAACAGCTTACCAGATAATTTCCAAAAAAAGAAACTTTTCCTTGGTTTTTACTTGGTCATAGCATGAAATCAAGGCATAAAATCATTCAGTCACTGGCAGGGAGGAGGTGTGCCTAGGCCCTGCTGTAATTTGTACCTCTCAGCCGCCCCAGAGCAACACTACAATCTAAGTAAAAACAGGGTGCTTGCTGTGCAAAGCAGCTTCAAGACAAGTCCTCTACTTTTACATTCCTGCTCTATTGCCACCCCTCCCAGAATACGTGCTCAGAATAGCAGTTTTAGAGGTAAACACTGTTTACAGAAAGATGTACTGAAAGGGCATTCAAATCACAGGACGGTTCTCAGACATGAGATTGTAGTACAACATCTCCAGGTGGCATTTCGTGTTTGACTTTCTAAGTCGTTTCCATAGAAACGATTGGGAAGCCATAAATACTGGACTGTGAGAGGCAGTGTACAGGGAATTGTTCTAAAAGTTTAGGAAAGATTAGGACATCACCGATCTAAGAAACTCTAAGGCAATATGCACGCTGGGCGTACGGAGAGTTGACACAGCAGAGCTGTGAACTTTTTCACTAGTGGGACTCAAACAAATTCAGAGAGCTTTTTTATTTTTTTAAACTAACAGTATTTGAAATTTGCTAATTTTTCTGTCTCCTTTTCCATTTTCTTAAACTCATGAAGGCAGTAATCCTGGAACACTATGCTTTTCTTTTTCCCCATTCCTCCCCTCCCCCCTTAGCTGGCGTCTATTTACAGATTGCCACCAAGGTCCAAACTTGACGGAAACTTAGGTTTTTTTGGTTTTGTTTTCTGTGCATTCTCCTAGGTGTTCCTAGTTGCCATGTCTTTGGTGAGGGTTTCTCCTTCCTAGTTCTCCTTGACTCTCTTATCTGTCTGTCTTTTCAGGGAAGAAGAGCCCAGACCTGGGGGAGTACGATCCCCTCACCCAGGCTGACAGCGACGAGAGCGAAGATGATCTTGTGCTCAACTTGCAGCAGAAGAACGGAGGGCTCAAAAACGGGAAGAGTCCTCTGGGAGAAGTGCCGGAGCCTGACTCAGATGCCGAGGCCGCAGGGGCTGCAAAGCCACACCTTTCGGAAGTCACCACAGAGGGCTACCCCTCGGAACCCCCGGGAGGCCTGGAGCAGAAGGCGACCTCTTCCCTGGTGTCGTACGTGCGCACATCTGTCTTCCTGCTGACTCTGGGCATCTCAATGATCCTGGTGCTCCTGTGTGCTTTCCTGATCCCCTGTCCTCCCAGAGACCTGCACAGCACCTGGAGCCGCCACCTGGGCTCCCAGGGAGGTGAGTCACAGAATTTACAGCCCTAATTCTGTCAAACTTCGTGGTATATCTGATTACCTTGACATTTTCCTTCAAGTCTGAGGAGCTAATGTGTGTCATACAGCATTTCCCCACCGTGTGTGAAAGTGGTCAGGAGGTTAGGATTTGAAATAAAACAAAAAGATGGAGTGATACCCCTCCAAAAACCTGGGACTCACTGCTTTGTTGTGTCTGTGGATTGGTCTTTATTAGACCTAGAGAGGACAGGGCACGAGTTTGCTGAGTTCCTGCTGTGGAGCCAGCTCCGTATCAGGGCAAAGCAAAGCTGCAGACAGGGCTGTTTAGAGAAAAGCAAGGCTCTAGGCCTGGCCACACCTGGGGCTGGGGCTCTTGTAGGAACCCTCAGGCATTTGTTGGTTATAGAGGCCTGACCCAATTTACATTCTAAAATAGTAATTTCATTTCACCTAAAAGACAGTGGCTGTCTTTTCTTTCTTGCGCCTAGTGGTTAAGAGGGCTGCTACTTGAGTAATTCCAGCTGGTGTGTCACCTTTTGCAGCAGAGTTCTTCAGAAGCTCTTGCTCTGGCACGGGGGTTACATCGCACCTGTGCGGGGTAGTCCTGTCTCTGGTAGGCTCCTCAGACCCTGTGCATCACGGTGACCTGGCAATGTTTATCCCTGCCACCTCTCTGATCCCAGCTGAGTTTGTTTGTGATGAGTTCTGTGTTCTCATCTATGGTTTCTCTTAAGGCAAATTTAATTTACATATGTAATATTTACCTACAGTGTAAAGGTTGGTGTAGCTACCACCCAGCTGAAGAAATAGAACGTTATTGAGACCTTTGCAATCTCTTATGTGTCCCTCCTCACCCACCAGAGGGTTCTGCCATCCTAAATTCTGTGTTGATTATTCCCTTACTTTTCTTTAAAGTTTCCGACATCAACGTATACCCCTAAACTATACATTAATTTTGCCTGTTTCTGAATTTTACGTAAATATAATCATGTAGCCTTCTGTGACCTGCTTTTTTGCTCACTGTCATTTTTTTGAAAAAATGTTTTTGAGGTTCATCCATATTGATGTGTGTAGCTGGAGTTTATTCATTTTCACTACTGTCTAACTTTTCATGGTGTGAATATCCCATAAGTTATTTATCCATTTTACTGTTGGTAAGCATTTAAAT